AGGGGGCTCGGCCGGGACCGCCTGCAGCAGCTCCCACCGGGGGGGCGCTGGGCCGCTTTTGTTGCCGTTCGTGGTTTTTCTCGAGTGAAGAGCGGAACCGGGGGACGAGGTGGGGAAGGTCCTTTGGCTCCGCGCCGGGAGCGCGGGGTGGCCGGCTGGGGCACCCCTTCTGGGGGCTGAAGCGCCTCGCAGGGGAGGGAAGCCGGGTCGGGTGTGCCTGCTGGGAGGTGCATCGTGCTCTGCTCTCCGTGCATTTATTTCACTTAAGATATTGGGGCTAGTTTGCTTGCTTTTTTTTTTTTAACATTTATGCTTTTTTTTTTTTTTGGTACTTAGGGACTGGGGATGTGTCATTGTTATACTCAGAATCGCTTATTTTATAAATCACGCAAAAGACAAAGCATGCTAAATAAGAGCTTTCTTGTACTAGGAAGAAAAAGGTCTAACAGCACTGGTTGCTTAGAGGGATGCTTCAAAACTTTAACAGTCTTGCTAGAGAGTCTGTTGCTGTTGCATGAACGGTTTGTTCTTACAGTCAGCACCTCTATTCATTAAAACTGGGGGAAACAACTCTTATTTCGTGTTTTCTTTGCATGTTGGATGTGTATGCGTGTCACTTCTTGCCCTTGTAGAGAAGCCTCTGAGCTTTAATTTTTGGATCTGTGCCTCTGAATTTGGCTTTTAGGGAGGGGACTTGAAGTTCTTTTCTGACATTGTTTTTGCTGGAACTGCAGACCGGCTTCTGAGAAATGTTTGCAAAGTCTTCTGTGGTGACGGATTTGATTTCTTGGAGTCTGAGAAAATTTTAAGGCTGGTTTGACATGACCTTCCTGTTCGGTTTTTTTTGAGAGGTTGAAAGGGTTTCTTTGACTGCTGTTCTTAACCTTTGCCTTCTGATTACTATATTGTGTTTAGCAAACATACTTTGTTTCTTTCTGTTGATTATTAGTAACAGAAGATAGCAAGTCCCATGAACATAGCTGCAGAGGTCTTGCATTTTCACAAATGGAGTGTAGTATTTTGTTAAATCTAAAGAGGCTTAACTAATGTGTAATAAGGTTTGTTTTTAAAAAAATATGCATATATTTGTGTGTTTACAGGAAAAAATTGCATGCTCCAAAGAAAATGTAGGAAAGATGTGACCGTTCTCTGGCAATGGGTGTATTTTCATATGCTATGTGGGGGTGTAAAAGGAGAGAAAACATGTTTCTTGTGAGTGGCCCTTTGCAGGGGAAGAGCTGAGGGTGGAGCTCATCCCACAGCCCTATGTGTGTTGTGACACCCACGTGTGATGTGACCAAACATATGGTTGTGCTGCCCCTGTGTCCCCCTGTGTCCTGTGCACCTGCTTCTGGCTACAACTGCCCTCTCCGCTGCCCCAAGCTTCTGCCACTGTGGTTTGCCCATGGTTGTAAATATTTCCACCAGTATCATCCCCTCCTTCACTTGCATGCATATAAGTAAGCACGGAAATTTGAAAGCACAGGTAATTTGAAAGTAGCCAGACGAGGCCAGGTGACTCTGACTTCTGTCTTCTCTTATGACTGTTGCTTTTTGGGTAGTGGTATACTGTTGAATCCAGCCTTTATATATGCTTGAAGAAATAAATGGACTGTGAATGTGAATGTATCTACTGCTAGGAAAGCTCCCTTACAGCAAACTGCCAGATGTGTTGGTATTACACTACAGGAAATATGATTCTTTGGGTGAAATGTGGCGTGAGGGGTTATTTCTAGGTGATAGGACCAGCAGGCGGTGGCCAAGGTTGTTCTTGGTGCTAAGCCTGGCAGTGGCAGAAGTAAAGAAATCCTTCCTCTGCTTCCATTTCGCTGTGAGTGGGCTGTGGGGTACAGAAGCAGTTGGGGCCTGTTGGTTGTGACTAGGGTGGCTTCAGGGTGAAAGCTGTTACTGTTTTCACCTTTTCATCTTATTTTTATCTCAAGTTTCTATCAGGAGCCATTTTTGGATCACTGCCTATGGGGTGGACTCAGCAGGGATTGATAGTAACTGCTTGAAACTTGGAAGAAAATTGCTGAGGATCATTATTAGCCAAATTTAATGAGACTGTTCGAGTCTATGTTGATAAATATTCTGGGTGTTGGTGGCAAGAGTTGATGGGTAATCTGCCCCTCATCTGGAAGGTTTCTGACAGAGACCAAGGGGAGGAATTGAGTTGGAAAAGTGCAAAACCCGTCAACTTCTGCCTTGGAGCAGGGGAGGGGAGTGAGAAGATGTGAACAGGGATCACATCCCATCTCCAGGGCTGGGAGCTGCCTTCTCCTGGGGGCTGGCAGGCAGCAAGACTGGGAAAAGCACTCTGCACAGCAGAGGGGTTGGCAATCTTTGAGGAGGTAAAAAAAGGAGTGAAATGGCATATTTGGGTTTTTTCCGCATGACAGTTTTTAAAAAACAAAATTCAAATCCTGCTTTTTGCAACAGGTTGATGTGGAGAACCAAACAAAAAGAAACAACTGAAGCACCATGTAGAGAAACAAGCGATGCAGAGTGGTGATTTGGGTCTGTGTGATGTGTCACTCCCCAGCATAGTTCAGGTAAAATGAAAAATAGAAAGCATTCATCTGACTAACCACTTTCTCTTTTCTCTCAGGGCAGGGTAGAGACAGTTGTTTTGCTTCCTTCTATCTCAGTATAATATTGTCTTCCTCACGTCCAAGGTAGGCCCCTGGAAAGATCAGTAATCTTCATTTCCTCTGCCTCCTGTGCTGATCTCTGCTCATTTCCGTTCATTGCTGGCTGTCTGGATGGTCTCTGGGGGCTGCAGGGGGGAACTCAGGGCCCGGGTGAAGCAGGCGTAGCCTTGCACTCCTCTCTGCTCTTTCAGTTCTGTAATTTTGTTGCTCCAAGTGGCCTCTGCTAGCTAGGTAGCAGTTTCAGGGTTTT